GTCGGTTAAGCGTCCGACTTTCGCTTGGGTCATGATCTCGCGGTTCGTGGGTTCGAGCCCCGCGTCGGGCTCTGTGCTGACTGCCAGCTCAGAGCCTGGAGCCTGTTTCAGTCTGTGACTCCCTCTCTCTCTGACCCTCCCCTGCTCATGCTGTCTCTATCTCTCTCCTAGAAATAATAAGTAAAAAAAAATAAATAAAAAAAAAAAAAAGTTTTTTCCCCCCTGGTTCTTAATTTTTGCTTTAATGATGGTGTTTAGGTGTATATAAGATCCTGCTTCCTTGGGTGTCTTGAAAAACTCAGACATAACAGGATGTTACTTCAGAATTTCTGTGCCTTTGAAATTACCAGGTTCAGATCTAGGAAGAGGAAGGAAATGTACAGTAGTTTCTGTTTACTAATAGGCAAGAAACACAACATGTAAGGTCTGTGATGTATGTGATTCTAGAACCCCTGAATTTATGACATTGATTGATGTATTCTTTTATTTAAAAAAAAATTTTTTTTACATTTATTTATTTTTGAGAGACAGAGTGAGACAGCACGAGTGGGGGAGGGGCAGAGAGAAAAGGAGACACAGAATCCGAAGCAGGCTCCAGGCTCTGAGCTGTCAGCACAGAGCCCGACGCGGGGCTCGAACCCACGAATTGTGAGATCATGACCTGAGCTGAAGTCGGACACTTAACCGACTGAGCCACCCAGATGCCCCAGATGTGTTCTTTTTTTAAACAAGAGGCTAAAAACACAAGCTGAGTGCCAGCTTTGCCTTTGTGACCTCAGCAAGTTATTTAACTTCCCTGTTTCCTCACCGGTAAGAATGAGAGAATAGTACTAACTAATTTCCTAGCATCATTGGAAGGATTGGAATCATGGGAATCATCATTGGAATCATTGGAAGGATTAAATTAGATAATGCTTTTAAATTTCTTAGCAGCACCTGGTAGACAACAAACACTCGAGGTGGTAGCTCTTTTTCTCACTGATGAAAATTTAAAGCCTTACAATTTCACTCTGTGAACACTTTAGTTTGTTCAGTCAAGGCATGAAGTTGGTCAGCAGTCTCTAACCTGTGCTCTTCCTTTCCTCGTGTCTGTTGAGCAGCTGTAGAGACTGCTAGGCATGGCAGCTTCCAGTAATGCAATGAGAAGATGGGAAGAGCTGTTAGCCCTTGGTGTTTCCCATGTTGTGTTGCCACTGTGCTCCAGAGGAGTCCTGTGGAACTGAGGAGATGGAGGCTCGAAGAAGTGTGGTCACTAGTTCAAGGGCTTCCAACCCGAAGAAGAGTGGACATGCAGTTTAAATTTTGGTCTTTTTACTCTGGTGCCTGTTGTGGAGAGCTAATGATTGACGGTATGATTTTTTTTTTATGTTTATTTTTGAGAGAGAGAAAGAACATGCGTGCACCCAGGAAAGGGGGCAGAGAGAGAGAGAGGGAGTGTGAGACTCCCATGCAGGCTCTGTGCTATCAGTGTGAAGCCCAATGCAGGGCTTGAACTCAGACCGTGAGATCTTGACCTGAGCTGAAAGCAAGAGTCACACACTTAACCAGTTGAGCTACCCGGGCGCCTGACAGTTTAGTTGTAAAATTGGAAGTGTTCTTTGTGGTTTTGTTGCGTCACAGATAAGGAAACTTAAGCCCAGGAAAATGAAGTGACTACCTATGGGTCACATAGTGAATTCACAGCAGATTTTAGAGTTAGGACTCAGGACTTCTGCCTCCCTGTAGCACCATGAATCCAGGAGGCCTCACATACCTGTTAGGGGCCTTCTAATACCTCTTACCTTCAAGGGGCTCCTTCTGGATCCCTTTCTTTCAAGGTCAGTGGGTTCCCTCTTCAGTTAGAGTCATGAATTTCAAAGGTGGATGCATCAGAACTTAGAGCATTTTTAAGACCACATTTCCATGCGATGCAACTCAACCTATATCTCATTTGTTTAGCTGATGTTCACTTGCTGTACCAATTTTGAATTTGGTACAACTGCTCTTTTGTGGCAACAAAGGCTTTTTTTTTTTTTTTTTAAGATAATGATTCTTTTTTTTTTTTTAATGTTTATTTATTTATTTCTAGGAGACAAAGAGAGAGACAGCGTGAGCAGGGGAGGGTCAGAGAGAGAGGGAGTCACAGACTGAAACAGGCTCCAGGCTCTGGGCTGGCAGTCAGCACAGAACCCGACGCGGGGCTCGAACCCACGAACCGCGAGATCATGACCTAAGCGAAAGTCGGACGCTTAACCAACTAAGCCACCCAGGCACCCCAACAAAGGCTTTTTGATGCTTACTTTTTTTCCCTTATTTTTTCCTTTATAGATATTGCTGCCATGAATGCCTTTAAACTTTTTTGCTGTGTATATATCTTACTTTCATAGTATAAATTCATAAAGGTTGGAATTATTAGGTTAAAGGGTATAAACATTTTTAAGGCTTATGGCACATACTCAGGTAGTAAGCTTTGGTTAAATCAGAAGCCTGTTACCTTTGCATGGGACTGCTTTGTAGATTAGATTGCAGGTTATATGCCAGACTAAGTGCTTATCTGTAAACAACTTCTTTCTTTCCCATTTGAGAAAGCACATGGCATACTTTCAAAACAAGAAACTCTCCTTTTCCACCAACGAAAGTGAGAACGAGTTGATTGAAATACTAGTCTAGTGGATGCTGTTTGACTGCAAAAACAGCCGAAATGACAGGGTCAGCATAGTTAAACTCAAAACAAAAGGCTTTCACGAGGATGTCGTGATTAAAGTGGACCTGACGGACAGGAATTGGGCTGCCCAAAGGAAGTGGTGGTGGGCACAGGGAGCCTTTTAGCTGAGGGAAGGGCAGACTCCCAGAGATGGGAAGGAGTTGGCATGTTTGAGGAAGAGGCCAGTGTCTTCCCCTAGGTACAGTGCGTGGTAGGAGGTGAGGCTAGTTAACTATGTGGGGTCTGCAGGGACAGATAACGTGAAGCCTATGAGGACAGGCTGTGTTCTCCTTAGGGACATCAAGAGTGATGTTGGATTTGTATCTTAGGAAGATCGCTCTTCCTAAGCTGCTTTGTACGGACTGGACTGGAGGTGGGTAAAAACGAGTTGGAGATGACCTGTCTTTGAAGAGGTTGGACATTGAAGGAGAGTACAGAGGTCAGGCTGATGCTGGAGGAGTGCTAGGGCTCAGGAAGGTTCTGTTTATTTATTTTTTTTTATTTTTTTATTTTTTTATGTTTTATTTATTTCTAGGAGAGAGAGAGAGAGAGAGTGAGCAGGGGAGGGTCAGAGAGAGAGGGAGTCACAGACTGAAACAGGCTCCAGGCTCTGAGCTGGCAGTCAGCACAGAGCCCGACGCGGGGCTCGAACCCACGAACCGCGAGATCATGACCTAAGCGAAAGTTGGACGCTCAACCGACTAAGCCACCCAGGTGCCCCGGTTCTGTTTATTTTTTTAAAGATGGCGGCATCTGGAGTATTTATATCCTGACTAAAATGATCTAGACCCAAGGAACAGGTTACAGACACATTAAAGAGAGAGGGGATCAATGGTGGACTGAGATGTCACCCAAGCTCATACACAGGGGGAATTAACTGGCTTGTGATTAAGAGATGGAGACTTCCTCCATTTTTATGGGAAGGAAGAAGGTGAATCTGCAGTCACAGGTTGCATTGTAGAGGTGTGAATGGTGTACTTCTGGGGAAATTTTAATGATATGTTCAGAACTAGCATACTTGGAAGGGAATTTAATTTGAATCTATGAGAATTTTAAGTCTTAAGGGGTATCTTATTGGAAGCGATAAAATTATTTACTGCCTTTAGTTAGTATTTCTAGGAGAAATTGCAGGAGTATCTTAGATCCACAGCATTTTAGAGCCTGGACAGAATCTTTTGAGATCACCAAATGCCTTGTTTTGCTTACAATACTGAAGCCTAGAGAAGAAATAGGACTTGCCTCAGCTTGTATAGGTTTGTGATGAGTGTGTGTGCAAATCACTGCCCTTTTGTCCCAGTTCCTGTGTTTTTTTCTACTTTAACATGCTGCTTTATGTAATAGAAATCTTTGATTTTGGGGCAACTGGGTGGCTCAGTTTGTTAAGTGTCTGATTTCGGCTCAGGTCATGATCTTGCAGTTCTTGAGTTTGAGTCCCGCACATTGGGCTCTGCGCTGACAGCTAAGAGACTGGAGCCTCCTTCAGATTTTGTGTGTGTGTCTCTCTCTCTGCCCTCCCCCCCTTGTGCTCTCTCTCTCTCTCTCCCTTTCTCAAAAATAAACACTAAAAAAATTTTTTAAAGATGAATTTAGTAAGGAAATTAGATATGGAAATCAAATATTTGGTATGGAATTTTCCTAATTAAAGAAAAATACTATTGGTTACCAAAATCCCAGTGAAACTAAGATCATCAGATCACTGTTATGTGAGGCTTGTTCTAGAATGTCCCTAG